ACCATGAAACCATCTACACCACGAAACCTATGAAACCATGAAACCATTGACACCACGAAACCTATGAAACCATGAAACTATTGACACCACGAAACCATTGACACCGCGAAACTTATGAAACCATGAAACCATTGACACCACGAAACCTATGAAACCACGAGACCCTTGACACCACGAAACCTATGAAACCATGAAACCATGAAACCATTGACACCACGAAACCTATGAAACCATGAAACTATTGACACTACGAAACCTATGAAACCATGAATCCATCGACACCACGAAACTTATGAAAGCATAAAAGTATTGACACCACGGAACCATTGACACCACGAAACGTATGAAACCATGAAACCATTGGCGCCACGAAACCTATCAAACCATGTATCCATTGACACCACGAAACCTATGAAACCACGAAACACATGAAACTATGAAACCATTGACACCACGAAACCTAGGAAACCATCAAACCATCTACACCACGAAACCTATGAAACCATGAAACCATTGACAACACGAAACCTATGAAACCATGAAACCATTGACACCACGAAACCTATGAAACCATGAAACCGTTGACACCACGAAACCTATGAAACCACGAAACCATTGACACCAAGAAACCTCTGAAACCATGAAACCATTGACACCACGAAACCTATGAAACCATGAAACCATTGACACCACGAAACCTATGAAACCATGAAACCATGAAACCATTGACACCACGTAACCTATGAAACCATGAAACTATTGACACCAGGAAACCTATGAAACCATGAACCCATCGACACCACAAAACCTATGAAACCCCGAAACACTTGAAACTATGAAACCATTGACACCACGAAACCTACGAAACCATGAAACCATCTACACCACGAAACCTATGAAACCACGGAACTATTGACACCACGAAACGTATGAAACCATGAAACCATTGGCACCACGAAACCTATGAAACCATGTATCCATTGACACCACGAAACCTATGAAACCACGAAACACATGAAACTATGAAACCATTGACACCGCGAAACCTAGGAAACCATGAAACCATTGACACCACGAAACCTATGAAACCATGAAACCATTGACACCACGAAACCTATGAAACCATGAAACCATGAAACCATTGACACCACGTAACCTATGAAACCATGAAACTATTGACACCAGGAAACCTATGAAACCATGAACCCATCGACACCACAAAACCTATGAAACCCCGAAACACTTGAAACTATGAAATCATTGACACCACGAAACCTACGAAACCATGAAACCATCTACACCACGAAACCTATGAAACCACGGAACTATTGACACCACGAAACGTATGAAACCATGAAACCATTGGCACCACGAAACCTATGAAACCATGTATCCATTGACACCACGAAACCTACGAAACCACGAAACACATGAAACTATGAAACCATTGACACCGCGAAACCTAGGAAACCATGAAACCATTGACACCACGAAACCTATGAAACCATGCAACCATTGACACCACGAAACCTATGAAACCATGAAACCATTGACACCACGAAACCTATGAAACCATGAAACCATTGACACCACGAAACCTATGAAACCACGAAACCATTGACACCAAGAAACCTGTGAAACCATGAAACCATTGACACCACGAAACTTATGAAACCATGAAACCATTGACACCACGAAACCTATGAAACCATGAAACCATGAAACCATGAAACCATTGACACCACGAAACCTATGAAACCATGAAACTATTGACACCACGAAACCTACGAAACCATGAAACCATCTACACCACGAAACCTATGAAACAACGGAACCATTGACACCACGAAACGTATGAAACCATGAAACCATTGGCACCACGAAACCTATGAAACCATGTATCCATTGACACCACGAAACCTATGAAACCACGAAACACATGAAACTATGAAACCATTGACACCGCGAAACCTAGGAAACCATGAAACCATTGACACCACGAAACCTATGAAACCATGAAACCATTGACACCACGAAACCTATGAAACCATGAAACCATTGACACCACGAAACCTATGAAACCACGAAACCATTGACACCAAAAAACCTGTGAAACCATGAAACCATTGACACCACGAAACCTATGAAACCATGAAACCATAAAACCATTGACACCACGAAACCTATGAAACCATGAAACTATTGACACCACGAAACCTATGAAACCATGAACCCATCGACACCACGAAACTTATGAAAGCATAAAAGTATTGACACCACGAAACGTATGAAACCATGAAACCATTGGCGCCACGAAACCTATCAAACCATGTATCCATTGACACCACGAAACACATGAAACTATGAAACCATTGACACCACGAAACCTAGGAAACCATGAAACCATCTACACCACGAAACCTATGAAACCATGAAACCATTGACACCACGAAACCTAGGAAACCATGAAACCATCTACACCACGAAACCTATGAAACCATGAAACCATTGACACCACGAAACCTATGAAACCATGAAACCTTTGACTCCATGAAACCTATGAAACCATGAAACCATTGACACCACGAAACCTATGAAACCATGAAACCATTGACACCACGAAACCTATGAAACTATGAAACCATTGACACCACGAAACCTATGAAACCATGAAACTATGAAACCCTTGACACCAAGGAACCTATGAAACTATGAAACCCTTGACACTAAGAAACCTATGAAACCATGAAACCATTGACACCACGAAACCTATGAAACCATGAAACCATTGACACCACGAAACCTAAGAAACCATGAAACCATTGACACCACGAAACCAATGAAACCATGAAACCGTAGACACCACGACACCTATGAAACCATGAAACCATTGACACCACGAAACCTATGAAACCATGAAACCATTGACACCACGAAACCCATGAAACTATGAAACCATTGACACCAGGAAAGCTATGAAACCATGAAACCATTGACACCATGAAACCTATGAAACCATGAAACTATTGACACCACGAAACTTATGAAACCACGAAACACATGAAACTATGAAGCCATTGACACCACGAGACCTATGAAACTATGTATCCATTGACACCACGAAACACATGAAACCATGAAACCATTGACACCAGGAAACCTATGAAACCATGACTCCATGATACTATCATTATATGACATAGACATTGGCATATACTAATTAGCATAAATTCGGTCACCGTAACACCAAGTTGTAACCGGACCCAGACTCCCTCTCGGTAGGGCATTGTAACGCCTGACTATAGGATTAGGAACCACGAGTGGTGTAGGCGAAATAAAGCCATCGTCCAAGGTTGAATCCGTTGTAATTTTCCATTAGGGAGTTTAAGATACGGAGACTATGGACTACGATCTACGACTGGATGAGCGTTGTCCTTTGTTTGTGGCACTGGGTTGAGTCGTGCAAATATAGAAAGTTAAGATCGCACTACAGACAGTAGACTACGAGAGAGGAGGCGGAGAGGGAAACAACACTCAAAGATTTTCTTGTTTTCATCACAGTTCACAAAAACGCAAGTCAGTTTTGCATGTGATCTTATCTTTAGAACAATGAACAAGTTCTTCCATACTTGAAGGAAGCAATTACGTCGGGTGAAATTAGTGAACAAAGTTTTGGTTTAGGTTTTATTTTTTATCTCATGAATGCTTATGTCAGATATTAAAGAAATAGACAGAAACAGTAATAGCTCATTTATTAGATTTGGAAGATGGACTTCTCCGACTACTGATCTGATATAGATTGAAGTATTGAAATGCCGAGTTTCGATTGTCTCGAATATGTTTACATCATTTTCATTCAGCAAATGCGATACAAAAACTCGCAACAAAGGTTACACAAGTGGAAAGACACACTAGTCAGTTCGAACAAACATTGAAACTTTTCAAGTGCGAAGAGAAAGTAAATTACCTGCATGATTTCTCTTCTCCTCGGCCGTGAATCTGAATTCTGCGTATAAACAGCTAAGCTTATTTAAATATGAGCTTAGCTAGGTAAAAATATAGTCACAACAGTGGATTAAAAGCGTAAATCTGAGCAGAAATTAGACAAAACTTACATAATTCGCTTTCGGTGAATTGAAAACTTTTTTACGAAAAGACGAGATTCTTGAATTACCGAGACGGCAAAATGCAAGCAAAATGTTCTCCGTAGTCGCGACTACGCGAAACAGCTCAACAACTCACCGTAGCCGCAGGACTACGCGGCAAAAATGAACAGTCACGTGGTTTTGATCATGCGCGGTAGCATGTTTAACCGTAGTCGTAGTCCGTAGTCGCGGTATCTTAAACTCCCTATTATTTGCCGAGTAGGTCGGTCACAACATTGGCGACGAGGGTAAAACAAGACCCCAAGAAGTCAGCGAAACGAAAGGTTCGCGAGAAACATGGACGATAATGAACGAGACCATATCAAAACATTCAACTGTAATGGGGACCAAAACACGCTTGGCTTTCGATGGAAGCGGTGGCTGACAGCTTTCGAACTATTTGCAGACGGCAAAGGCTTAATTCTAAATAAAGACAACGCGAACAACAGGCAGAGGAGAAGTGCACTAAAGCTCCATCTCGCGGGACCCGATGTTCAAGATATTTTCCTTACCCTACCGAACACGGGAGATGTGAAAGATTACCGGAAAGCGGTCGATGTGCTGAACGCATACTTTGCTCCCAAAGTCGACACTACGTATGCTAGACACTGTTTCAGACAGCTAATTCAAGCACCAGGGGAAACAATCCGACAGTTTGCAACCAGACTCAGACGAGCATCGAAAGATTGTGACTATGGCGAAGACACAGATAACCAAATTCGTGATGAAATCCTCTACAACTGCACCAGCACATACATAAAACGAAAACTCCTGGAAGAACGTCAAGGCCTCACTTTAGCTAGAGCGTTTGAAATCGCCGAGAATTGCGAAAAAGTCGACGCACAGCTTGCTGCAATGACCATAGAGGAAAAGGGAGAGAATTTAGCTAGTGTAAATCGCATAGAGGGAACAAAGAGAGGCCATGGAAAGAGAAATCAGTCACGAGGTACCAAAACCGGCCGTGAGAAAACTTGTTACCGATTTGGTAGAACTGGACATTTCGGTCGAGATTCTAACTGTCCAGCAAGAGGTCAATTCTGTCATCGATGTGGGCTGGAAGGACGTTTTCAAGAGCAGTGCAGGACAAAGCAGAAAGGTGAAGAAAAGCAAAAACAAACCAAAGGCCACAGGAACCCCAAGGGAGGTGCTGCAAATATGGTTGGTTGCCACAACGAAGAAGAGTAACCAGTGTATACTTTTACGGTAGGAGGCAGGAACGAGGAGAAAATTGAAGTAACCGTTGGAGGATGTAAGCTGAACATGATCATAGATTCTGGAGCAAGCACTGACATCATTGACAAGGAAACATGGGAGTGGTTGAAGAAAAACAAAGTGAAGTGTGAATCAGCTCGCTCGAGTAGGAAACTCTATAACTACGCATCCCAGACACCACTCGATGTGATAGGAACATTCTCCCGTGAGGTTTCTGCAGGAAGCAACTCTCCTAGTGCCAAGTTTTGTGTGATCAATGGTGAAGGAGACCCCCTTCTGGGGAAGGACACTACAACTGGTCTAGGCGTACTGAAAATAGGGATTGGTATCGCTGCAGTAAGTGCAGACCCAAAGACCATTGGTGGGATCCTGCAACAGAAGTACCCAAATGTTTTCAGCGGCGTTGGAAAGTTGAAAGACCGAGCAGTACAACTCCACATCGACCCCAATGTGACGCCAGTAGCACAGCCGATGCGGAGGACTCCGTTCAGCATGAGATCAAAGTTGGAAGAAAAGATTAAAGAACTCATTGAACTAGACATTATTGAACCTGCACAAGGGACTAAACCATGGGTTAGCCCAATTGTTGTTGTTGTCCCAAAGTCTGGAGGTGATATCCGTCTTTGCATTGACATGCGAAAGGCTAACGAGGCAATACAGAGAGCCAGACACCCGATCCCTACTGTTGATGAGATTACTCAGAGCATCAGTGGCAGCAAGGTATTCTCCAAACTTGACCTTAAGTGGGGATAACACCAGCTTGAACTTTCCCCAGAATCCCGAGAGATTACTACGTTTACTACCCACTGCGGTCTGTTCAGATACAAGAGACTATTGTTTGGTGTTAACTCTGCTTCCGAACAGTACCAGTACGACATCCAGACAGCACTTGCGGGTATAGAAGGGCAAGAGAACATTTCAGATGACATCATCGTACCTGGTAAAGACCAGAAAGAGCACGATTTGTGGTTGGAGAAAGTCATCATGAGATTAAAGGAACGTGGACTGGCCCTCAATGCAGAAAAGTGCCAGTTTAGCATGGATAAGCTCACATTCTTTGGCATGGTATTGTCCGGGAACGGGATCAGCTGCACAGAAGAAAAGGTGAACGCCGTGAAAGAGGCACGAGAACCTAGAACGGTATCAGTAACCCGAAGTTTTCTTAGGCTTGTAAACTACTGTGGCCGCTTCATACCCGACCTGGCAACGGTATCGTGACCTTACGTCGCCTGGCAAAGTCAGGAACCCCTTTCGTGTTTGGAGGTGAACAGAAATAGGGCGTTTCAGGAGCTAAAAGAGCGATTGGCTTGTGCTGAGACTTTAAGGTACTTCGACAAAGATGCCCCAACCCAAGTGATTGCCGATGCCAGCCCTGTTGGACTGGGAGCGGTACTGACCCAAAAGCAGAAGAATGGACCGAGAGTCATCTGCTATGCAAGTCGTAGTCTGACAGACACCGAGAGAAGATATTCGCAGGCAGAGAAAGAGGCGCTGGCACTCGCATGGGCCTGCGAAAAGTTCCATACCTATGTGTATGGTGATCTATGTGTACGAAGACCATTTGATCTTGTTACAGATCACAATCTGCTGGAAGTTATTTACGACCCAAGGTCAAAACCCTGCGCACGCATTGAAAGATGGGTGTTACGAATGCAGCCATACAAATTCAAGGTCAAGTATGAGCCTGGGCCGAGCAACATTGCTGACCCCCTCTCAAGGCTAGTGGAAAATCTAAAAACCAGCAGTAGTCACTCAGCTGAAGCCGAAGAATATGTCAGATTTGTAGCCATAAATGCGACCCCCTGTGCTATGACTACACGAGAAGTGGAAGAAGCCTCAGCAATTGATGAGGAACTCTGTGCAGTCAAGGAATGCCTAAACGGAAAACCGTGGGACCAGCTAACTTACAAGAAATACCTCCCATGTAGTAGTGAACTGTGCAGCATCGGACAATTGATAGTAAGAGGAACAAGAATCGTTATCCCGAAGAAACTCAGACCAAGGGTGTTGTCTCTCGCTCACGAAGGTCATCTGGGCATCTTTGGAACTAAGCAGAAGTTGCGCAGTAAAGTGTGGTGGCCCGGGATGAAAAAGGATAGTGAAAACACTGCAAAACCTGCTATGGATGTCAGTTAGTTAGCCGTCCCAGCCCACCAGAGCCTATCAGGAGCACAGCATTGCCGACTGAACCATGGAGAGATTTGGCAATTGATTTGCTCGGACCACTCTCCACAGGTGAGTCCATTCTGGTCGTCGTTGACGACGATAGTCGCTACTACGAGATAGACATCATGAGATCCACAGTTGCCTCTAAAGTCATCTCGAGTCTGGACGAGATATTTGCAAGACATGGTCTACCTGAGAGCTTGAAATCTGACAATGGACCACAGTTCGTAGCAACAGAGTTTACAGCGTACATTGAGCAGCAGGGAATCAGACACCACAGGGTAACAGCAAAATGGCCCCAGGCAAATGGAGAAGTTGAGCACCAAAATAGTTCGCTTCTGAAAAGGCTCCAAATCGCACATGCTGAAAAGAAGGACTGGAAGAAAGAGCTGAATGTTTATCTTGCAGCGTACAGAAGCCTACCTCACTCAACTACTGGTGTAAGCCCTTGCGAGTTGCTCTTCGGACGGAAAATACGCACCAAGCTTCCTGAGCTGAGCGATATACATGTCGAACAAGAAGTGCGTGATAGGGACAATGAACAGAAGAGTAAGAGCAAAGCGTACGCTGACACGCAAAGGAATGCGAGGTACTCAGAGGTACTTCCTGGAGATCAAGTGCTAGTGCAACAAGAGAGGAAAAACAAGCTCACAACCCGTTTTGAACCAAGTCCGTACATTGTGGTAAACAAGCATGGGAACAGCTTGATCGTGCAATCTCCGGAAGGAGCTCAATACTCCCGAAATACATCTGATGCAAAGAAACTACTAGAGAATGGTGATACACATGATGATACACCAAGTATACCGGAAGTGGTGGTGACCGGAGAGCCCCACAAGCAGGATAAATTGACCCCACAGCAAAGTGTGGTGATACCAGAACCAAATGTTGTTGAGCCTGAAGTTCCACTTAGGAGGTCCCATAGACACAGAGTGGCCCCAAGTTATCTCAAAGACTATTGTACTTAAACTTTAGAGACGCTGAATTCTCAGAGACATTGTTGACATTGTTGCTAGTCCATGTTTATGTTTATTCGACCAATTATTATATTGTCTCTACTTCTGCTAAATGGTATTGTTTTCTATCTAAATGGGGAGGGATGTTGTGTATTAGGACCCAGACTCCCTCTCGGTAGGGCATTGTAACGCCTGACTATAGGATTAGGACCCACGAGTCGTGTAGGCGAAATAAAGCCATCGTCCAAGGTTGAATCCGTTGTAATCTTCGATTATTTGCCGACTAGATCGGTCACAACAGCAACCTTTTATACTCTTTATACATCACATCTGAGGTGAAACAGTACTATTTATCACACACAGACCTCGGACAGAATGCAGTATTTCACAATTTTTCAAGACAAATTTCACTCAGTCAATGTTCAGGACGATCAATCGTGGGCTTTTAGCGTTCTTTTAAAGGAACTTTAAAAGAAATAATAACGACAACATAACATAATAACATAATACAACATAATAACGAATTTACTATTATTATTTTTTTTGTTATTTAATGGTTTCAGTTATAACGATGTGTAATCTTATAAAGCGTTTGATACGCGCGACATTTTTAAGTACTCCTGCAAGCGATGTTCATGAACGATGAAAACAAACGCCACGGACAAGCGATTAAAATTGCAAGAAAGACTACTAACAATCAATAAAAGAAATGTAATTCGGTGAAACATTTACAGAGACAACAATTTTCATTCACGAAGACAAGTATTAAAGTGTCTCTAAAAATACCGAGTCTTTTAAGCTTAAAGATTAAGCTTAAGTTAATTATGTTTTACTTTCACCCGGCCTCCCGGTGTTTGCTTTTTTTCAAAGATGAACTCCTCGAAGCAAGAAAATCGCTCAAAGTTTTCTTTTTACAGCCAAATTTATAACTAAATATTCTTCGGAACGTTTTCTTTCTATTTGTGGTGAGAAAATATATCTGAAGGCCTTTTAAAAATCTGTAAGCTTATATCAAACATGATACTAGGTTAGATCTTACAAACATGCATAAACTTGCCGTATAAACTGTGCTCGACTAATACTACTCGAATAATTACTCAGGATTACCATTCGAGATTCAGTTCCTGAAAGATATCAAGGAAGGCCACAGTTGCTTGACACTTTAAACCCTCTTACGCATTAAGCAAGGTAAAAAACGAAAACGATGCCATCCGAAATCGGATTACCGAATTTTGACAAGCGACGCATTTCTCAACCAAAAACCCAATAAACAAACCAGCCATGAATAACAGAAGACTCTTGATAGCAGCTGTATTTCATTTTGTGCATCCAGTGGAAAAAGACAGTTAAAAATATCACAAGTTGACACGAAACTCTGTCAGCTTCAGCTGTCAAAGTAAACAACTTTCAAGATGCTGCATAAATTTTCCGCATGAACTCACCTGTCAAATTTTGACCAATCAGAGCATAAAAATTGGACGTGGAGCGTGCCAAAGCGTGACATAATAAGCAAAGGTCTTCCCCGCCTGTATTTTTAAAAAACCTGGCTGAATTTTCGCGTCCGAAGTCAGTTTGAAATCAAAATCTTAACAATGCGGGACATAGTGACGTAAACACAACATATTTCATATGAATCACTGGAAAAAATAAACTTGAGCCCTCAACCATTTGAAACTGAAAATTTGTCCGCGGATAACTTCAAAGAATACTCGACCTCGATGGGTCGACACTTGAGCCCGCGGTACGGTCAGGTGACACTGGTCAGCGGATCCCCTGTTTTGACAGCTGTCAGTTGATCCCAACAATGATGTGCAATTAGTTTTCTCTTGGGCTCCAAAAATAGCTAGAAAGTGTGAGAGTAAACATTGGTTCCCCTGTGGTGCGGACGGACAGTCGGGCGTACGGTCACGTGATTACCAAATTTTCTCGGATGGGTAGATTACCACATTTCCTTAGCTATGGGGCTCTGTCCACGCGCGCGCGCGGGTGGAGCTCCGCTATGAGGTTTTTTGCCACCAACAAACAATAGAGTAGCAACCCGAACAAAGTGCATTTTTAGACATCCCCCCACAATATCTAACTACATGCAAAATTTGAGCGGGGGGTCAAAATTTTCCTTTTCCCATTTTGCTTGACTGATACAGAGAATTGCTCTTAACACTCTTGATATGAGTTTTGTTTACATGTAATTGATTCATATTTCTTTGTACATTTTAAACAAGCACCAGTCTAAAAGTCATATCTAGTAAGTATATCCACGGTACCTTGTGAAGAAAGACAGCCTGGTCAGGACTGAAACAACTGACCTTATTCAGTGGTTCGCTCACTATCAGATCGCTGAGGCTTAACAGAAAGTACACTTAACGGAAAGAACGATGTAAAATGAACTAAGGAAATAACTGAGCCAAGACCAAACTAAATTAAAAGAAGAAGGTAAATACGCCTGTATAAAAACGTACTGTTGACTGTCGTTTGCAAGTTCTCCTTTGAAAATTGCATTAACCGGAATGAAAAGCTCCCTCAGATATCAACATTTTTTGCCTTGTATTTGTTATTTACATAGAGGCTATATGCCTATTGCACATTGATTTTAAAGTTTGGCATAAACTACCTGATCAATGTTTACCAGTAGCAAATCTTCCTTTCTTCTCAGCCCCAAATAACTATTACACGAAGAAGCATAAAAGGAAATAGAACAGTAAGAAAGAAAGAGAAAAGTTAAGGACAATCCTTGCTTTTCATCAAAATAGGTCATGTTCTAAAATACCTGAAAGGTTAT